GGAGTATTTTTTTAAATTACAATTTCATTATGATTTGATGTCCTTTATGTATTTAAAAATATAATTAGACATTATAGATGTCTCTGCAATGTGTTCTGTTGTCTTCCTTGTATTATTTTTCATGTCCACTAGATGGCGCTCGTAGGATTAAAGCACTGATATTCAGGATCTAGTAATCTTGAAAAGTCGTAATCTGGATCAGGCTGATCCTATCCTGAATTGCTTTGAACTACAGGGACAACATCTGGCCGATTTGTCTGATCCTGGATCACAAAAAAGGGGATTTCAAAATCTGATCGGATCTGATTGAGATTACAAGTTTTGAACTCCTGGGCCCTGGCCATCATCATGGACATCAACATCCCCATCCCCGCCCAACAGCAAAAATACACAATAACCTACAGAAATCTCAAATCCATCTCACCTTCAGCAATCACTGCCTCCATTACCTGCAAGATGTCTGTCTCCCCCCCCCCCCCCCCCCACTTTCTGAAAACCCATCTGAACTTGTGGACTATTATAACAGCACCCTCTCCTTCTGTCTCAATGAACTGGCCCCCACAAAAACAAAACATGTCTCTTTCATACACTCCGCCCCCTGGTATACCCCCGAACTCCGCCAAATGAAATCAAGGAAACGTCAACTTGAACGCCAACACAGAAGAAAACCACACTAACAGTCCATCTTCAAATCTACAAAGACTATCTCCAGCAGTACAGTAACGCACTCAAAGCAGCCCGGTCTAATTACTACTCACAACTCATTCAGTCTGGCTCCAGCAACCCCAAGCGTCTGTTCTGCACCATCAGCAAACTTCTCAAACCCTGTGACAACGCCACCTCGTCCTTCACCACCGAACAGTGCAACTCCTTCCTCTCGTTTTTCCAAACCAAAATCAGCCACATTTACAGCAATCTGACACCCTCATCAGCACCCCCCACCTCCCCTCCTGGCTCCCCCCCTTCACCTCACAGCCCCTGTCCCACTTCTCCCCTGTGACCCCCATGCAACTGTCCGACTTCATGACTGGAATGAACTCCACCTGCACACTTGACCCAATGCCCTCCAAATGTGTTAAAGAGAGCCTCCCTGCCATCTCCCAACTCATCGCCACCATCATGAACTCCTCCCTCAGATCTGGATCAGTTCCCCCCTCTCTCAAACTGGCTGCTGTCACACCCATTCTCAAAAGACCTGGACTCACACCTGACATCATGTCCAACTTCCGGCCCATCTCAAATCTCCCCTTTCTGTCAAAAATACTTGAACGTGTCGTTGCCTCACAACTTAAAGCCCACCTCAGCTCCAATGACCTCTTTGAGCCATTTCAATCCGGTTTCCGATCAAAACACAGAAACAGCTCTTCTCAAAATCACAAACGACCTCCTCCTCTCCTCTGACTCCGGCAACCTGAACATCCTCATCCTCCTCGACCTCACCGCAGCATTCGACACCATCAACCACGCCATCCTGCTGTCCCTCCTCGAATCATCACTCAACATCACCGACACTGCACTCTCCTGGCTGAAATCCTACCTCACAGACAGACATCAGTTTATCAACATCAACAACTGCACCTCCTCCACTGCTCCTCTGTCCCAAGGCGTCCCCCAGGGTTCGGTGCTTGGCCCCCTCCTCTTCATCCTCTACATGCTCCCCCTTGGCAAAATCATTTGCCGCCACAACCTTCAATTTCACTGCTACGCCGATGACATCCAACTTTATATCTCCACAAAAACCATCACCCCCACAACACACTCCACTCTCACCAACTGTCTCTCAGAAATAAAAGCATGGATGCAAACAAACTATCTCCAACTGAACAGTGCCAAATCAGACATCATCATCATCATCGGCCCCCCATCATCATCATCGGCCCCCCATCCCGTATCAAAGACATCCAGAATTTCAACTTCACCATTGACAGCCACACTCTATCTCCCCCCCTCACATCCGCAACCTCGGAGTCATCTTCGACAGTCAGCTCAAATTCAACCACCATATAAATCACATCACCAGGACCGCCTTTTTCCACCTCAAAAGCATTGCCCGTCTCCGCCCATCACTCTCCTCCTCTGCTGCTGAGACCCTGATTCATGCATTCATCACTTCACGACTCGACTACTGCAATAGCATCCTCTACGGCAGACCATCCAACCTCCTCAATAAACTCCAACACATCCAGAACTCTGCTGCCCACCTCCTCTCCCACACCCGCTCCCGAGACCACATCACTCCCGTCCTCCAGAACCTCCACTGGCTCCCCGTCCGTCAAAGAATCGACTTCAAAGTCCTCCTAATTACTCACAAAGCCCTCAACAATCTGGAACTCACTCCCCAACCCATCAGACTGCCCTCACCTCTTCAATCTGGCTTTTAATGTGTGATTGTTTTTGTATTATTTAACTTTAACTATATATTTATTTGTTGTTCCTTTCTTTTCACTATATCTGTAAAGCCTCTTTGAGCGCCTGTAAAAGCGCTAACAAAATAAATCTATTATTATTATAATATCACATCTGCTATGTTTACTCTTTGATGCTGAACCTTTTCTTTTTTTAAACATGTCAGTCACGCTGATCGGAGCTGTTGGACCGGATCAGACACGATCAGACACTCCCTGCATTTCCACGGAAGATCTGATGTCAGATTACAATCAAACTGCTGCCAACAGCTGGCACCAGTTCAAGGAAGTCTTTTTTTAATGATTCTTCTTCTCCGAGGGACATTCTCCACAATACTATAGAATAGATTTATAGAATCAGCATCAAGAAACATTAGTCCTCTCCATTCAAACAGTGAAACAGAACCATTTCATCAAAGTGATACAGATTCCTCTGGGAGGATTCTCACCTGAGGAACTGAGTTTTAGGAAACACAAATACTTTGTCAGGTTAGGTTACTTCTTGTTTGGAATTATCCCCAAATGTATAATCTCAAATAAAAAAGCTTTTCAACCATATTCTCACCTGCTGAATTCCCTTCAGGTCAATTGAGAAAGCTTCATATGAGGAGGAAACTCTTCCTGGTCAGAAAGCCAGTCTGTGAGAGGGGGTGTAGTTCTACCAAGTGTCCACTAGGTGGTGCTAACGAACCATCGAATGAAATGAAGCTCAGCACTAACAGATGATGAGCAGCGTGGATGACCTGCATGTGTGCCTGATCGGACACATTATATTACATTGATTTAGCTTTGATCTAAAGTGACAACAATTTTTACAATAAATCAAACCAACTATAAAGATATAAACTAAGAACAGCAAGACTCCTGCAGGAACATTCACTTCAAACAACCTAAACGTTTTTAGACTCCCCTGACGCTCACCCGATTCGTACTTGTAATTGTTCTATCTATAGCCAATCAGATGTCTCCTGTCTACAATTTAAATGGTTTAATCAAGTTTGCAATGTTTTGAACAGGCATCCACACAGTCACCTACTTTGTAATGTTCGATACCTCCCTGGCTGTAAGCGTCACGATATCCACCTCTCACCCACAACCTCACATACGAGTACTGAATGTGCATCAAAGTGATCTTAGGAAGGCAGATGTAGCAAAAGATGAACGTAAACGACAAACGAGGCGATCGACATGTTTATTTCCTGGTAAATCCACAATGGGTCCTCAATGTACACGCCCCGGATTCCCCTGACGAAAATAATAGAATTCCGCCAGTTGTCATGACTCAAGTTATACTGCAACACCGGCAGGGGCGGACTGGCCATCTGAACTTGCTTTGACAGGCGACAGAGGTCCACCGTTTCCCCGCAGCGAGGCCCCCCCCCCCCCCCCCCCGTTGACAGTTCACTGTCTAGCACCCACGGGAAGGGGCGCTGTACCTTAATAATATAAAGGCTTGTATTTGCGTGCATTTCCTGTTCGGAAAGTGGCGCTGTCCTGAGAGTGGAAGTGTCCTGAGATTAGCGCCTGCAGGCTCCATGGAGCTGTCAACTCCGGACTGCGCTAAATGCGTACATGAAGCACTACGTCATGAACGCAATAAATCTACCCTCGTGGGGACGCGCTCATGTGATTGGCTTAGAATGGAGGAGACATCTGATTGGCTATAGATAGAAAAATTACAAGTACGAATCGGCTGAGCGTCAGGGGAGTCTCAAAAACCCACACACGAATGCACAGCGATCCGTGCACAGAGAGCGGTTGTGTTTGCAGGTGCAGAGGTTTTAAACGGAAAACTAATATGTGAGGATCAAAAATACATATGTAAAACTTTTTTCTGTGTTTGGATTTTATTTACATGAATATGAAACGGAACACATTTGTGTGCTTTGAAAAACACAAGTGTGGATCCTTCTGTGTGCATGTGTGTGTTATGAGACTGCTCTGAGCCCATAGTTCTGTGCTGCCGCCATTTTAAGTCACGGTTGCAGTTCAGACGCTGATAATAGAACAGAAGACGGACCCCTCCATATATCATGCTATCACAAACATCGCATCAGCAAAGTCAATGCTCCATCAAACTGTTTTAAATCCAAAGTCCAGCAAACATGAGACTCCACTGGGCCGTCTCTGAATGCAGGGTCATTACAGACAGGCCCTTTACACTCAGGTATCATATCACGTCTGCTATGTTTCAATGTGAAAACATTACAAAACAAACATGTCAGCCATGTTGATCTGAGTTTTTAGACACTCCCTGCATTTCCACTGAAGAAGTGGACTCAGATTCCAGTCAAACTGCTGCCAAGTACTGTCGCCATAACAAGGAAGTCTTTCTAAAATCATTCTTCTTTCATTCGGAGGTGAGGTCTCTACAATACTTTGGGTTAGATATATAGAATCAGCACCAAGAAGCATTTGTTCTGACCAGTTCAACAGGGATACAGCACGATGTGATCAGAGGGATCCTGATCATCCAACTTTACGGATTAAGTTGAATTAGGTCAAGTAATTGATTGGCTGTATCCATCCCCGAATGCATCATAATGGACCTAATAAACGTACGAACCAAACAAAGCATTTCAATCATATTCTCACCTGTTGAATTCCCTTCAGGTCAGTTCAGACGCCTGCATGTGTGGAGGAAACTCTGCTCATCTCTTCCTCTTCAGTCCTGTGTCTGCGTGTATCTGATCTGAGGACGCCGTCACTCCCTTCAGAGTATCAAAACACATCGAGTGACGTGAGAACAGGTCTAACGGGAAGGAGAACCAGTCAAGGTGTGAGGTGATGGAGGTGACGAAGTTCTACTAGCTCTCCACTAGATGGTGCTGACTGACAAAACCTTTCAGATCAGCAGGTACAAACACATAGGAGTGATATGGAATCTGAAGAAGTTCAGGCTGTATGATGTTCTTTTTCCACTTCTTCAAACAGGCTTTGGCTTGCAAACACATTTTGATTTAATGGCAAATGTACTCCTATACCCCTGTAACAACTTTGTATCTTCATTTCAAAAGCTTTTCATGTGAAATATCAATACATGTGTTTAGGAAACCATATTGCATAGGTTAGGTCAGGGGTTCCCAAACTTTGCCATTCCAAGGACCCCCATATAGCATGATCCTCTGGCGGGGACCCCCCTGTTGCAATTATTTTTTTTAATTATGAGTACCTTATGATGGGAAATATGACAAAGCAATCATACAGCTTAATACATTTTCTATATATATATTTGTATCAATAATAATTAATAATCAGTTATTCTTCTAAACATTTATTGTATTTATCTTGTGTTTGTCATTCGTCATTCATTGTGTCTTCTGTTATAAACATTATTAACACAATATTAAACAGTCATATCAACAGTAAACATATTTTAAAGCATTTTTAAAGTGATTTCTGTCTTTATAATATGATATCATTTTGAACAGTAATATGAACAATTAACATATCTTTGTTGCATATTTGAAAGCTATTTATGCCTTAATAATATTATATATAATATTGAAAAGTAATATTAACAACAAACATATTTATATTCATATATATAAACAACAATATTTGCTCGATTCTGATTGGCTTGAAAGGCGGTCGTGTGATTTAAAAAAATAATCAAAAGATTGGCATCAAAGGACACATAGATTGATAGATATGCAGTTATTAATTACATCTAAAAAAAAAATATTCCCCTTTCCCTCAAACTTTGCTTGACACCCCTGGCGGCCCCCCGGGGGGTCGGGGCCCACACTTTGAAAAACACTGTTCTAGAGCACCCTGAAACCGAGGGATACTCTGAAAGAATACGCCCATTGGCTACAAATCAATATATGATTGGTTGATCAAACGGTCAATCCAAATGCTCTCCTTCAGTGTAAGTGCCAGGGCCTTCTATCAAGGATATAGAATACCTTGTTGAAGGATATTCTACCCAGAGACCCAGAGAAATATCTCATTGGCTGCATTTTTTTCCTATGTGATCATCGTATTAAGGGGTATAAAGTATATTGATAAACCTTCATTTCAGGTCGTCAATGCACCTGATGTGACACACCATTGAAGACGAGGTCCTCCTGACCCATGTGGATCCAGAAGCTGGACCTTCAGCCAGGCATGATGACACACTGCAAGAGCCACCTCTAAAGAGAAAATGCAAGCGCAACCAGAAAACCAGAGCAGAGGGACGATGCCTACGAGACCTCTGCTGAGCCGTGACACGGAGAGGGACATGCCTACAAGACTCTGCTGAACCGTGACACGGAGAGGGACGATGCCTACGAGACTCTGCTGAGCCGTGACACGGAGAGACGATGCCTACGAGATTCTGCTGAGCCGTGACCCGGAGAGGGACGATGCCTACGAGAGTCTGCTGAGCCGTGACACGGAGAGGGACGATGCCTACGAGACTCTGCTGAACCGTGACACGGAGAGAGACGATGCCTACGAGACTCTGCTGAGCCGTGACAACGGAGAGACGATGCCTACGAGACTCTGCTGAGCCGTGACACGGAGAGGGACGATGCCTAACGAGACTCCTGCTGAGCCGTGACCCGGAGAGGGACAATGCCTACGAGACTCTGCTGAGCCGTGACACGGAGAGGACGATGCCTACAGACCTCTGCTGAGGCCGTGACAACGGAGAGCTACGAGACTCTGCTGAGCCGTGACACGGAGAGGGACGATGCCTACGAGACTCTGCTGAGCCGTGACACGGAGAGGGACGATGCCTACGAGACTCTGCTGAGCCGTGACACGGAGAGGGACGATGCCTACGAGACTCTGCTGAGCCGTGACACGGAGAGAGACGATGCCTACGAGACTCTGCTGAGCCGTGACACGGAGAGAGACGATGCCTACGAGACTCTGCTGAGCCGTGACACGGAGAGAGACGATGCCTACGAGACTCTGCTGAGCCGTGACACGGAGAGGGACGATGCCTACGAGACTCTGCTGAGCCGTGACACGGAGAGGGACGATGCCTACGAGACTCTGCTGAGCCGTGACACGGAGAGGGACGATGCCTACGAGACTCTGCTGAGCCGTGACACGGAGAGGGACGATGCCTACGAGACTCTGCTGAAGCCGTGACCCGGAGAGGGACGATGCCTACGAGACTCTGCTGAGCCGTGACACGGAGAGGGACGATGCCTACGAGACTCTGCTGAGCCGTGACACGGAGAGAGACGATGCCTACGAGACTCTGCTGAGCCGTGACACGGAGAGGGACGATGCCTACGAGACTCTGCTGAGCCGTGACACGGAGAGAGACGATGCCTACGAGACTCTGCTGAGCCGTGACACGGAGAGAGACGATGCCTACGAGACTCTGCTGAGCCGTGACACGGAGAGAGACGATGCCTATGAGACTCTGCTGAGCCGTGACACGGAGAGAGACGATGCCTACGAGACTCTGCTGAGCCGTGACACGGAGAGGGACGATGCCTACGAGACTCTGCTGAGCCGTGACACGGAGAGGGACGATGCCTACGAGACTCTGCTGAGCCGTGACACGTATACAATACATTTTGATCATGAACACATTTCTCTTTCTCTCTGTGTTGTGGAGATGCTGAGACTCAAGGTACCAACTACTGAAGCATGCTGCTCTGTTTTTACTGACATGTAACATATTATTTCACCTTGCTCTATGTTTTTTAACGCACATTCAAAAACGGGAACATTTTCGGGAGTTTCAACCGGGTACCGGCCCCCGGGTACGGAAAGGCGACGTTTTGGCCCCCCATCCCACTGTGTTTACAGCTCAGCACTGCCACGATCTTGGTGTTATGTCACGGTGTTAGTGTTGTCTGTCTGGTAATGGGTTTTGTTTTGCTGTCCTGTTCTCCCCGTCTCTTTCTCATATCTATAACTCCTCTCCTCTACTCCTATCCTCGACTCCTATCCTCAATACTTAGTCCCGCCCACAGGAGATGCGAGCGGAGGACTCGAGGAGGGGAACGGAGGAGCCGAGGAGGGGAACCGAGGAGAGAGGAGGGGAACCGAGGAGAGAGGAGTCGAGGAGGGGAACCGAGGAGAGAGGAGGGGAACCGAGGAGAGAGGAGACATCTACTAGGAATAATACATGTCCAAAGTGTCTATTACGTTAGTAGGAAGTCCGACCTAGAGCATTGGAATAGAACAGGTTGTTTCATAAGGCCCAATGAGAACAAACACGAGGCAGAATCTAAACAGGGAAGAGTAGAAAAATGTTGAATCATTAAACATCTGATAGAACAAGAACAAGACACACCTAGTTTTTGTTTTGAAGGAGGGGCAGCTTGGGCGTATTGTTGTTCATAGCTGGTGGAACGGGAAATACATGATTTTTGGCATGAAGTTCATTGTGTGACTAACTCTCCAACTTTGAATTTCAGATGTCCAAGTTGTCGGGGAGAGCCAGATGTATCGATGGAAGCCGGCAGCTCAAGAGTCCAGTAAGTATCCTTCACGTCTCCAGATACGTTGAAGGCTAAAGGAGTAGGATGTTCTAAGTTGGCTTCAGCTCGAAGCGCATGCCGTGTTTAACATCAGTGGTGGAATGTAACCAACTACATTTACATTACTGCACAAAGTACCACAGAAATATACTTGAGTATTTGCATGTTCTACTACTCTGTACTTCTACTCAATATGCTGAGACTCAAGGTACTAACTACTGAAGCATGCTGCTCGGTGTTTACTGACATGTAACATTTTATCTCACCTTGCTCTATGTTTTTTAACGCACATTCAAAAACGGGAACATTTTCGGGAGTTTCAACCGGGTACCGGCCCCCGGGAGAGGGGACGTTTTGGTCCCCCATCCCACTGTGTTTACAGCTCAGCACTGCCACGATCTTGGTGTTATGTCACGGTGTTAGTGTTGTCTGTCTGGTAATGGGTTTTGTTTTGCTGTGCTGTTCTCCCTGTCTCTTTCTCATTTCTATAACTCCTCTCCTCGACTCCTATCCTCGACTCCTATCCTCAATACTTAGTCCCGCACACAGGAGATGCGAGCGGAGGAGCCGAGGAGGGGAACCGAGGAGAGAGGAGTCGAGGAGGGGAACAGAGGAGAGAGGAGGGGAACCGAGGACTGAGGAGGGGAGCCGAGGAGAGAGGAGGGGAGCCGAGGAGAGAGGAGGGGAGCCGAGGAGAGAGGAGCGGAAGCAGCAGGCGGTTAGAGAAATGAGAACTCCTCTCCTCTGAGCGGCCATTTTAAAGAGACGTCCATTAATGATGACAGGAGGCAGCAGCCCTCTGTCTGATGGACAGATGTGTTCATGACCACTTCTATATTTACTTTGATTCATTCACAGTGCGGTGTAATGAGACAATAACAGGCTACAGATGAGGACACACACACACACACACACACACACACACACACACACACACACACACACACACACACACACACATATATGTATATAAATATATACCATTTCAGAATCAAACAGAGCACTCTCATAATAACGTAACACTATCAGAGACTGGATATACCAGACAAAATAGCTCAAAATAAGATCTGTGGGAAACGTAGCTGTTTGATAAATGCACGTTTTGTTCAGCCGGATAATATCCACATGTCTACCCTACTTTTATAATTTTCGAATCATAAATCTATTGATTAGATTAGATTTATGATAGACTTTTGAAACTACAAGAAGATAAGGAGGACTTTTACAAAAAAGTAATAGAGTTGTTTGTCCAGAGGGATAGGCAAATGGACTTCATCTTCAAGTCAAGGTAAGACTGCAATTTGATTGAAAATGGGATCTTACTAAGAGAGAACAATTCAATATTTAAATGATACAATTACATGTTTTGGGTATCCTTTTGTTGAACTGTCTGTTTAAAATTAATTGAAGCATCAGACTAAAAAAGCTTTTGAAAATAATATTATATTTTGATTTAGGTCAAAATATAATATTTGTAAACCTGAAGAGCCAGAGCCTCAGCAGCCATGAACCTCACTGCAGAAGCTTATATATAGACATCTACGTTGTTTGTGCCCCACCACTTTAGTACATATAAAAACGCCACACACACACACACTGTACCACACACACACCTACACACTGTACCACACACACACCTACACACTGTACCACACACACCTACACACTGTACCACACACACACCTACACACTGTACCACACCACTACACACTGTACAACCACACACACCTACACACTGTACCACACACACACCTACACCACTGTACCACACACACCTACACACTGTACCACACACACCTACACACTGTACCACACACACACCCTCACACTGTACCACACACACCTACACACTGTACCACACACACACACAACACACACACACACACACACACACGACCTACACACTGTACCACACACACCTACTACGCTGTACCATACACCAACCTACACCCTGTACCACACATAACACCCAACACCTACACACTATAGACCACACAACACCTACCACACTGTTACCACACACACACCTACACACTGTACCACACACACCTACACACTGTACCCACACACACAACGAGGCACACACACTCACACCTCACAACTGTAACCACTCACACACACACACAGACACAGGAGGAGGGGCACACACACCAGCTGTACCCCCCCCCCCGACCCACACACACACACGCCACACACACACACACACACACACAAACACACACACACACACACACACACAGCTCCTGCAGCCGTTGTGTATTTTATTTTGTGAAGCACTAAATGCTCTTAGAAACATCTGGACTCTTTGTTTGTAGATATCTACTAAATTAAAGCAAAGAGAGTCGGCCTGTTCTACTGAGTGATATCTATGATACACACTGCTCTGCTTTCTGCACGGACCTCCCAGCTGTTCTACTGAGTGATATCTATGATACACACTGCTCTGCTTTCTGCACGGACCTCTCAGCTGTTCTACTGAGTGATATCTATGATACACACTGCTCTGCTTTCTGCACGGACCTCTCAGCTGTTCTACTGAGTGATATCTATGATACACACTGCTCTGCTTTCTGCACGGACCTCACAGCTGTTCTACTGAGTGATATCTATGATACACACTGCTCTGCTTTCTGCACGGACCTCTCAGCTGTTCTACTGAGTGATATATATGATACACACTGCTCTGCTTTCTGCACGGACCTCTCAGCTGTTCTACTGAGTGATATATATGATACACACTGCTCTGCTTTCTGCACGGACCTCTCAGCTGTTCTACTGAGTGATATCTATGATACACACTGCTCTGCTTTCTGCACGGACCTCTCAGCTGTTCTACTGAGTGATATCTATGATACACACTGCTCTGCTTTCTGCACGGACCTCTCAGCTGTTCTACTGAGTGATATCTATGATACACACTGCACGGACCTCTCAGCTGTTCTACTGAGTGATATCTATGATACACACTGCTCTGCTTTCTGCACGGACCTCTCAGCTGTTCTACTGAGTGATATCTATGATACACACTGCTCTGCTTTCTGCACGGACCTCTCAGCTGTTCTACTGAGTGATATATATTATACACACTGCTCTGCTTTCTGCACGGACCTCTCAGCTGTTCTACTGAGTGATATATATTATACACACTGCTCTGCTTTCTGCACGGACCTCTCAGCTGTTCTACTGAGTGATATATATGATACACACTGCTCTGCTTTCTGCACGGACCTCTCAGCTGTTCTACTGAGTGATATCTATGATACACACTGCTCTGCTTTCTGCACGGACCTCTCAGCTGTTCTACTGAGTGATATCTATGATACACACTGCTCTGCTTTCTGCACGGACCTCTCAGCTGTTCTACTGAGTGATATCTATGATACACACTGCTCTGCTTTCTGCACGGACCTCTCAGCTGTTCTACTGAGTGATATCTATGATACACACTGCTCTGCTTTCTGCACGGACCTCTCAGCTGTTCTACTGAGTGATATCTATGATACACACTGCTCTGCTTTCTGCACGGACCTCTCAGCTGTTCTACTGAGTGATATATATTATACACACTGCTCTGCTTTCTGCACGGACCTCCCAGCTGTTCTCTCTGGAAACATCGCGTCACCATGAAAGCAGTTACTACAATAATATCCAGGGGATGCATGCAGAGCTGTGATTGGCTGAGATCAGTCCGGCCGTACGTCACGACTCTTTGAAACATCTGTGTTCCCGGAAATGCATCCACGAAGGAGCCGAGGAGGAGCCATCAGTGTCTCCTCGGTTAGAGCTCCTCCAGAGAGCCTCCTCTCTCCTCTCTCCTCGGTTAGAGCTCCTCCAGAGAGCCTCCTCTCTCCTCTCCTCTCTCCTCGGTTAGAGCTCCACCAGAGAGCCTCCTCTCTCCTCTCTCCTCGGTTAGAGCTCCTCCAGAGAGCCTCCTCTCTCCTCTCTCCTCTCTCCTCGGTTAGAGCTCCTCCAGAGAGCCTCCTCTCTCCTCTCTCCTCTCTCCTCTCTCCTCGGTTAGAGCTCCTCCAGAGAGCCTCCTCTCTCCTCTCTCCTCGGTTAGAGCTCCTCCAGAGAGCCTCCTCTCTCCTCTCTCCTCTCTCCTGGTTAGAGCTCCTCCAGAGAGCCTCCTCTCTCCTCTCTCCTCGGTTAGAGCTCCTTCAGAGAGCCTCCTCTCTCCTCTCTCCTCGGTTAGAGCTCCTCCAGAGAGCCTCCTCTCTCCTCTCTCCTCTCTCCTCGATTAGAGCTCCTCCAGAGAGCCTCCTCTCTCCTCTCTCCTCGGTTAGAGCTCCTCCAGAGAGCCTCCTCTCTCCTCTCTCCTCGGTTAGAGCTCCTCCAGAGAGCCTCCTCTCTCCTCTCTCCTCGATTAGAGCTCCTCCAGAGAGCCTCCTCTCTCCTCTCTCCTCGGTTAGAGCTCCTCCAGAGAGCCTCCTCTCTCCTCTCTCCTCGGTTAGAGCTCCTCCAGAGAGCCTCCTCTCTCCTCTCTCCTCGGTTAGAGCTCCTCCAGAGAGCCTCCTCTCTCCTCCTCTCTCCTCTCTCCTCTCTCCTCGGTTAGAGCTCCTCCAGAGAGCCTCCTCTCTCCTCTCTCCTCTCTCCTTGATCCTCGGTCCTCGAAGTGCATTTAGAGAAATGAGATGTCCTTCAACATGGCGCGCTGAAATTCATTTCCAGGTCACTACCGGAGGACCGAGGAGTCGAGGAGGGGGATTTGATGAAATGAGAAAGGGCCAAAGAGTTACAAACCTTTAGAGAGAAGAAGAAGAAGACTCCAGAGCACGACGAGCACAAACCGCTCTCTTCCCTGCAGGTAATCAGCAGCTGATCAGAACCTGCCTGTGCACCTGGGACTGACGGCTGATTGGTCCCCTCACCCTCAGCTGGCCTATCAGCAGCCAGAGCCAGTCTTAAAGGAGGAGCTCCACTTCCCTCTCAGACCTGCTGCTGACTCCAGAGCCTCTCTGTGAGCACCCTGTGTCCTGCTTGAGTGTGAATGTGTGGGAGGTGGAGGGTTAGGGTAGGTTTGGGGTACCCTCTCCATCACAGGTAAACTGTGTTGGACACACTAGGTTAGTAGATCGAAGCCCCCCCTGTAATTGTTTTGTCTCCTTGTTAGTAGACCAGATGGTGGGGGGGGGGGGGGGGGGGGGGGGCTTTTTGTTTGAGGTGTGTTTCAGAGAGAAGATACATGCTTTAATGAGCTGCAGCACCTCTGTTCACCCTCCGTCTGAAACCAGAGCCCAGTCAATGGACATGATGTAACAGAAGTCAAATGATGAGGGCAGTGACCCACACATGAAACTCACTTTATTAGTATGTATTACTTTATTAAACTGTAACTCCATTGATAGAGTTATATGTAAATATTGCACAATCATTAGATTATTTTACATTTTAATTACATCTTATATTTCATTTATAAAGCACAGAATGATATTATAATTAACCACAAAGAGACTAGAATAATCTTCAGTGCATCTGTCCTCTCATTGGCTGTAAACAATACTTTGTGTGTCTTCATTGAGTCAGAGGTATTTGACGTTGGGGAGGACGCAGAGCATCTCAAACAGGAGGTTAGCTCCGGTCAGCGCCGTGTTTCCTGAGGGGGGGGGGATATATCAATGAGTTCAACATAATGAAATATGTGAATGATGGAATAGAGTGTGTAGTACCGGTGGTGTCGTAGGGGGGAGACACCTCCACCAGGTCACAGCCCACCAGGTTCAGACCCCGACAGCCGCGGATGATCTCCACTCCCTGAAATCAGACCCATTGAACAGCGATGGTGGACCGACAGCAGAAACATCACAATTATAACTTTTTCAGAAAATCTCAAAACTTTGTTACAAATCTGAAAATGTTGACTATTTCCTGCAGATGTGGACTTTTTACAAAAAGTCTCAACATCAAGACTTTTCTGAAAATCTCAGAATCCCCCCCCCCCCCCCCCATGATAACCCAGTAGCAGTGGCATATAGAGAAGTGTCTAATAAGAACCGATGTAATAGAGCACTAAGCAGTAGTTACAGCAGTCTACCTGTATGGAGGTGAGCCCGGCGATCTCGGGGGTCCCGGTGCCCGGAGCGAAGCCGGGGTCCAGAGCATCGATATCAAAACTCAGGTACACCGGACCCCCTCCCATCTGACCCCTGACCTCCTCCATCAGGGGAGCCAGAGACTTGAACCAGCACTCTTCCACCTGCACTACACGGAAACCCTACACACACACACACACACACACACACACACACACACACACACACACACACACACACACACACACACACACACACACACACACACACACACACACACACACACACACACACACACACACACACACACACACACACACACACACACACACACACACACACACACACACACACACACACACACCACACACACACACACACACACACACACACACACACACACACACACACACACACACACACACAGTCAGGCCTAATTCCAAACCGCCCCCTACACACTAACCCTGTCACGATTCTTAGTTTTGTGTCTGGTTGACCCTGTGTGTCCGTCAGGAACAAAGAAACACCATTCAAGTTGTTTTGAGGTTAATTATTTGTGTTCTTAATCCAAGAAATGCTGATTTGAAACCATTGTTACGAAAAGTTACGGAGTTGCAAGTGGTTAGGGTGAAGTTTGGAATTGGGCCTCAGTCAGTTAGTCAGTACCCTGTGTTACAGGAAGTAGCTGGTCCCTGTATCAGGTAGTGTATTTCATCAGAGGTACGCAGAACACGATCTTATTGATCTCCGGTACCTGAGCACGGCTCCAGGCGTAGGAGTCGGCGGAGTAACCGGACCCCCGCAGGCCGATCTGCACCACCCGGCTGCAGTCCAGCAGCCCCTCCTCCACACAGCGTCTGAAGGGGGTCCTGTGTCCGATCCGCTCCCCCAGAACCACATCACTGGTGTCAGCGTGAGCGTCAACGTGGACCAGACCCACCGGGCCGTGCCTGCAGGGAACCACAGAGTATTACAGGGAACCAATGAGTACCGTAGAGCAGTGTTTCTCAAACGTGTTCATACCAAGGACCCCCAGGATCCAACCTGATCATCAGCAGAGCACAGACTTACTTCTCAGCCACCGCCTGCAGGATGGGGTATGCAATGGTGTGGTCTCCACCTGCAGAGACAGCAGCTGTTAGAGAGCCACCGTGGAGCCAATAGGCGCTTTCACACCGGGGTCCTTTCCCCCGAACTAGGCCGATAGGGGGGAGATTTGGTTTCACACCAAAAAGGATCTAGTCCCTAGTCCCTGCGAACCTTTTCACCCCCAGATAGTCCCTGCTAGAGAGGTAGTTTGTTCCTGAGGAGGAAATGGTTCGTGGGTGTGTCGGCCACACTAACAATTTATGATTGGTTGGGCGAATTGCAAACTCCGAAAAGTTTTGTGAAGCCGCAATTGTATTTGCTCGCATTAGCATTATTAGCATTATTAGCATTATTAGCATTAGCACAGCGCACCAACGCAGAGAGACTAACTTATGGCAACACAAAAGAAAACATGGGAGCGGTGGAGATGAGGAGGGGTCGGCGCTTCGGAAGACGCGACCCAGCAGCTTCATTTGTCAGAAGCATTTTGACGGGTGATTAATCGCCGCAGCTAGCGTTACCTGCCACTCTGATCCACTGACCCCCCCCCTGACACACACACACACACACACACTCACACACACACACACACACACATACACACACAC